TGATAAATGAATGAATGAATAAATGAATGAATGCTTCTATAGTCAATAATACGGATGTGTCAGTCAGGTATAACTATGATCCATAATGAATAAATTAATTAATGAGTTTATGAATGAATTAATGAATGAAAGCATGAAGAAATGAATGAATGCATTAACGAAAGAATAAGCAAAATAATGAGTGAAGGAATTAAATAAAGAATGAATGAACAATTGAATGCATTAAAGAATAAACAAACAAATTAAACAATGAATGATAGAAGGAATGAAAGAATGAATGAATTAATGCATGAATGAATGTATGAACGAATTAACGAATTAACAAATAAATGAACAAATGAAGGAACAAAATAGTGCATAAATAATGCATGAATGAAAGAATGAATGCTCCTGTAGTAAATGTTACTGATGTGTCTGATATCTATGATCCATAATGAATGAATGAGTTTATGAAGGACTGAGTTAATGAATGAAAGCATGAATACAATAATGAAAGAATAAACAAACTAAAGACTGAATAAATTAACAAATAAATTTAAGAATGAATGCATCAATAATAGACAATGAATGCATGAAAGAATTAATGAATGAACAAATTAACGCATGTGTGAATGAATGACCAAATCAACAAATAATGAATGAATACATTAATAAAATTATTAACATATAAAGTAACAAATAAAGGAACGAATGAATGAATTATTGCTTGAATAAATGAATTAAAGAATGAACTAATGAATGAACAAAAACATGAACAAATAAAAAAATAGATAGATAGATTAATGCATGGATGAAGGAATGAATGAACAAAATAATTAATTAAAAAATTAATGAATATATGAATGAACAAATGAATGCATGATTGAACAAAGGAATGAATTAATTTAAGAATTAACAAACAAATGAATCAATGAATGCTCCTGTAGTGAATGTTATGTGTCTGTCAGTTGTAACTATGATCCATCATGAATGAATAAATGAATGAGTTTATCAATGAAAGCATGAATAAATGAATTAAAAAATGTATGAATGCATTAATGAAAGAATAAATGAACAAATTTAATAATGAATGGACAAACGAATGACTGAATGAAAGAATGAATGAATGCACAAACAAATGAAAGAATAAATAAATGAACAAATTAATGCTCCTGTAGTAAATGTACGAATGTGTCTGTCATGTATAACTATGATCTGTAATAAATTAATGCATTAATGAAAGAATAAATAAATTAATACATGAACAAATTAAAGATTGAATGAACGCACAGTTGCATGAATGATGGAAGAATGAATGCATGAATGATGGAAGAACGAATGCATGAAAGAATGAGAAATGAACACACGTATGACTGAATGAATGAACAAATTAATGCATGTATGAATGATAGAACGACTGAATGAATGAATGAAAAAAATGCATAAATAAATTAATGAAAGAATTAATGAATGAATGAATGCTCCTGTTGTAAATATTTCTTATGTGTCTGTCTGTGTGTAACTATGGACCATAATGAATAGATAAATGAATAAATAAATGAATACTTTATGAATTAATGAGTTAATAAATCAATGAACAAATGAATTAATGCATGAATTAATTAATGAACAAATTAATGAATGAATTAAAGAATGAATGCATGAATGATAGAAAAAATGCATGCATGAATGAATGAATGAATTTATGAATAAATTAGTTAATGGATGAATGAACAAATGAATGAATTATGATTGGATTATTGCATGAATAAGTGAATTAAAAAATGAATGAATGAATGAATGAATGAATGAATGCTTCTGTAGTTAACAGTACTGATGTGTCTGTCAGGTCGGTCAGTGTGTTTGCCGTCAGTAGGACTGTGATCCTCTCAGCTGCCGTCCTGGAGTCATGGTGAGACAAAAAACACAGGGATTACACCATTATTGACTGCTCTCAGATCAGTGCTGATGTTCATATATAATCTAATGTGTCTGAAGGTCGAAGAGGTGCAGCAGAGTTTGGAGGCTCATGGGAGCTCTGGACTGCAGGTCGAACAGGTCAGACACTCATTTCCTTAACAACACATTTCACTATATTGTTAATAAATATAAAATGTACAAAAATGATGCTGGAAAACAGAATTCAGGGGGGAAAATAGGGCTGTAGCAATGATGTATGTGCGTGTGTGTGTTCTGCAGGTCCCATTTGCGCTGCTGCTCGGTGAGTGTGTGGATCATGTGGAGAAAACACAGGAGTGTGTCCTTGCCTTAACCAGCTACCGCCTTCACATCAAACTGCAGGAGAACAGCATCAGTGTAAGAGTTTCCTCAACAACACCTGCAGAGATCAACTGCAGAGACATGCAGATTCAGATGTGGAATACTTAAACTGAATATTATATAGGAAGCGGGGTTTTATTACAGTATGTTGATGTATTTTCCACTGAAACTGAATATTGAGTGGGGGTGGGGTTTTATTACAGTATAATGATGTATTTCCCACTGAAACTGTATATTGAGTAGGGGCGGGGTTTTATTTCAGTATAATGATGTATTTCCCGCTGAAACTGAATATTGAGTAGGGGCGGGGTTTTATTTTAGTATAATGATATATTTCCTACTAAACTGAATATTGAGTAGGGGGCGGGGTTTTATTTTAGTATAATGATATATTTCCTACTAAACTGAATATTGAGTAGGGGGCGGGGTTTTATTTTAGTATAACGATGTATTTCCTACTAAACTGAATATTGAGTAGAGGGTGTGGTTATATTTCAGTATGATGTATTTTTAGCTGAAACTAAATTTAAGTAGGGAGCCGGGAATAATTTCAGTATGATGTTGTATTTCCCACTGAAACAGAATATTAAGTGGGGGGGGGGGGTTTATTTCAGTATAATGATTAATTTACATCTTCTATATGAACTAAATATTGAGTAGGGGTGAGATTTAATTTCAGTATGATGACATATTTCCATCTGAACTGAATATTGAGTAGGGGCGGGGTTTATTTCAGTATATTGATTAATTTCAAACTTCTAAATGAACTGAATATTGAGTAGGGGGCGGGATTTTATTACAGTGATGACGTAATTCCTTCTAAAAATGAATATTGATTAGGGGGCGGGGTTTTACTCCAGTGTGATGACATTTTCAACTGAAACTAAATATTCAGTAATGGGTGGGGTTTAATTTCAGTATAATGATGTATTTCCATCTGAGACTGAATATTCAGTAAGGGGCGGGGTTTTATTTCAGTATAATGATGTAGTTCCTACTGAAATTGAATATTGAGTAGGGGCGGGGTTTTATTTTAGTATAATGATGTGGTTCCTACTGAAATTGAATATTGAGTATGGGGCGGGGTTTTATTTTAGTATAATGATGTAGTTCCTACTGAAATTGAATATTGAGTATGGGGCGGGGTTTATTTTAGTATATCGGTGCATTTCCTACTGAAACTGATTATTAAGTAGGGGGCGGGGTTTTATTTCAGTATAATGATGTAGTTCCTACTGAAATTGAATATTGAGTAGGGGGTGGGGTTTTATTTCAGTATAATGATGTATTTCATCCTGAAACTAAATATTAAGTGGGGGCGGGGTTTTATTTCACTACGATGACGTATTCCCACTGAAACTGTATATTTAGTAGGGGGCGGGGTTTTATTTTAGTATAATGATATATTTCCTACTGAAACTGTATATTAAGTAGGGGGCGGGGTTTTATTTCACTATAATGATGTATTTCCATCTGATACTGAATATTCAGTAGTGGGCAGGGTTTTATTTCAGTATGATGGCGTATTTTCAACTGAACTAGAATATTGAGTAGGGGCGTTTTTTTTTTTTTTTTTAAGTATAATGATTTTATTATTAACTAATTACTGAGATAACTTGTCTGAATACTGAAGGCATGTGTGTTTATTTTGTCAGGTTCCTCTGCAGCTGATTGAGAGTGTGGAGAGTCATGAACCGACGCAGATTCAACTCACCTGTAAAGACTGTAAAGTCATCAGGTCTGTATTACTGCACTGCTTTGAATAGCAAATGTGTTGAGCAGACACTTATTTTTATCCCTTGATTTGAATATAACAGGGCTCCCACGGCTCATGGAAATTATGAATGTGTTCTGTTAAATTTATAAAAACATAAACTCTCAATTATTCACCCTCCTTAAACTTAAACTTCTTTTTCAAATATTTCCCAAATGATGTGTAACATATTCAGAAAATTTTCACAGTGTTTCCTCTAATATTTTTTCTTCTGGAGAAAGTCTTATTTGTTTTATTTCAGCTTGAATAAAAGCAGTTCTTACTTTTTTTTAAAGCCATTTTAAGGTCAATATTATTAGCCCCTTTAAGCAATATTAGTGTTGGATTGTCTCCAGAACAAACCACTGTTATACAATGACTTGCCTAATTACCCTAACTTTACCCTAATTACCCAAGTTAAGCATTTAAATGTCACTTTAAGCTGAATACTAGTGTCTTGAAGAATATCTAGTCTAATATTATGTACCGTCATCAAGACTAAGATAAAAGAAATCTGTTATTAGAAATGAGTAGTGGTGTAATGGATCACATATCTCCTGGTTTGGATCTCATTATGGATTTTTAGTCACGGATCAGAGCCTAATGTCATTTGCTTTCCATTTATTACAGAAACAGCACTGCAAGACACTTTTGGTTTAACAAACAGAACTGAAAAGCTGTCATTTGATTAAAAATAACACGAAGAAATAATCAGCTGGATAACAATAAACTGAAATATTCAGTGCTGTGAATAATTCACTGTTACTACTGTTGCTGATAACGCAAAATGTAGAAATCTAACATTATAATTTGTACTACCCATATTTATTTTAGTCTCATCTTCAATAAATGATTCAGTTCTTCACTCATAAATCTTCATGTTTCATTGCTAGATGATCATTGTTAAAGAATTATTCAGCTGCGTATTTTTGACGTCTGGTTGTCCCCACCTACTGGTTAAATAATGTAATTGCTGCCCACAGCTTTTATTTCTGAGCGTCGTTAAATGCATATGATGGTGATTTAATCAACCCGGGCTCATTGTGGAAACGTAGCCCCGTGGACGTTTCTCCGGACCGCGAGATACGTCCCGGGAGGTACGTATTCGAGCGTTTTTTGTTTTCGTGGATCCGCGAGAGGCCGCTGTGCGCACTTTTTTTTCGGCCGCCTCTCGGGAGCGCGCGCCATTTGCACCCACGCTGTACTCGCGCGAAAAGCTACTGGATCGGCCGACCCGGCCGCCCTCCTCTTCCTCCTCCTCCTTCTTCTTCCCTAAACCTAAGCAACGGTTTGCAAAAGCCGTCCAGAAAAAAATAAAAAAAAACAAAAGCCCTCGTCTTCGATTTCGACCGCGTTTTCGGATCCCGCCGCGTTGTCGCCCTTATTTTTCGGATTCTGTTTTTCATCTTACCCGATTTCTGGAACCGCTGTTCCCCGGACTCGATCCCGGTCGTCGTCCCCACGGCCGGCTCCTCATCCGGGGCCTCCGCTCCGCCGACGCAACGCTGTGAGCTAAGCAGACAAAGAGGAGGAGCGCGAAGAGAAGGAGCCCCGCAGCGTTCGCTCGAAAAAAACTAAACGTGTCCGTACGTACCTCCGGCCACGTAAATCGCAGTCTCCAGAAATGTCCGCGGGGCTACGTTTCCAGAATGAGCTTGGGTTGGATTTAATCTTTACCATAAACATCAGTGGTTTCATTTAAACTATAAACAGTTCTCCCAGTACTGCTGTGTTATTAGACTGTAACGTCATAACTAACTAAAAAGACTAAAGACTGAATCTCCTAATTAAATAATAAACATCTGTAAATCAGCATCATTTCTGTTGATGTTGATGTTCAATTGATGTTGCGTGGGTGTTGAGATCCTGATCTGTTAATGATTAATCGTGCAGCTTACACTAAACAAGCAGTGACAGAAAACACCTTTAATAACCTAAGAAACCCACCACAACTTCTTCAGTCATCATTATATTTCCATCTAAATTATGCAGGAGCTGATCTCTCTGTGATCGTTACAAATTTGGGAATAATCTACAAGTAAAAAAATGTATTAATCCGCTGGCTATGTGTGGGTTACTATCCGTATGAATGAAGGATCAACCGTTACCCATTACACCCCTAGAAATGAGTTAATAAAACTATTATGTTTAGAAATGTGTTGAAAAATCTCTCTGTTAAACAGAAATTGGGTAAAATAATAAAATAATTAATATTTAACAACAGGGCTAATCATTTTATTTCACAAAAAGTTAAATTCAAACCATTTTAGTACTTTGCCGATCATAACAGCGGCCTGTTTTAATGTTATCGATCATGGAAATCCAGGGAAGAGTCAGGGAATTTGACATTGATTTGAGCTTAATTGCACCCAGAATGGTGCATCATGGGAGTAAACAGTCACTAAAGGCTCACCTGTGCTCTTCCTGTGTGTTCAGGTGTAACTTCCTGTCTGTGGATCAGTGTCAGGATTGGCTGCGGAGGATCAGTGCAGCGTCTGGACCGCCGGCTCGTCTGCAGGAACTCTTCGCTTTCAGCTTCCTGTCCTGCAGCAACAGTGTGACTGCAGAGGACAGAGAGGTGCATGATGGGATATGCAGAGCAGGTACACACAGACACACACAAACACACACACACACACAGACAGACAGACAGACAGACGCACGCACGCACGCACATGTTTGATTTTGTGAACTGTGGGGACATTCCCAATTCAAATTCATCAGCAACACACTGACCTGTTATCTTCAGTGACACTTGTGTGTGTGTGTGTGTTTGTGTGCCTAAGGAGGACACAAGCAGAGGTTTAAGCGAGAGCTGCAAAGGATGGGCTTCGACACACACAGTGCCTGGAGAATCTCCAACATCAACAGCAACTACAGGTGACAGAAACACCTGACACACACAACACACATTGTCTCGTTGTTTCATGGGGACCAAAAAAACAACAACACAATACTGGTGTTGCTATACTTGTGGGGACATTAGGTCACCAACACATAAGGGAATACATGGTGCAGCAGCAGCAGCAGCATCATCACCTGACCTGTGTGTGTGTGTGTGTGTGTGTGTGTGTGTTGTGTGTGTGTGTGTGTGTGTGTGTGTGTGTGTGTGTGTGTGTGTGTGTGTGTGTGTGTGTGTGTGTGTGTGTGTGTGTGTGTGTGTGTGTGTGTGTGTGTGTGTGTGTGTGTGTGTGTGTGTGTGTGTGTGTGTGTGTGTGTGTGTGTGTGTCAGGGTTTGTTCCAGTTACCCGGAGCAGATCTTGGTGCCGGCTGCAGTCACTGATCAACAGCTGGAGAATGTGGCGGCATTCAGATCATGGAAGAGGATCCCGGCCGTCGTTTACAGGTCTTTATCACTCTGCATTGTGTAATAATGATAATATGAAGCACTGTTTACACGAAGTACACCTACAGGAATGGTCATCAATGCATACACAGAAGTTATTAAACGATATAATCATCTTACTTCCCACATATCACATTGTGTTCGTGCACAAGAGTTATTGTATTTGCTTTAGGTAATTCTATACATATACAAAACTTTTTTTTAAAACTTATTTTAATTAAATTATCTGGCAGTTTGACATCGATTACAATTTTAGGGGCTTGTTTAATCATTTCCCCCCTCAAATTTTAGGTTAGCCATTTTCAGGTTTTAATGGTTAACTTATTTTAGTAATAAAATAATCATGTTAATTGGTTTATTTAATTAAAAACACAAAACACAGGTCAAATAAAATCTGTTTTATTTTTAGTTTTTATAAGTTCAGGTTCATTTTTCACAAATTATTATTATTATTTAAATGTATCTTCATTTAATAACCAAAGGGTTTTGTTAATTAACATTTCTACAATAAATGCGTCCTATGAAATCAAAAACTAAAGAAATTGATTCTTAAATTCTCTCCAAAATTATTTTACATTAAGTGTGTAGTTTCAGCTCTTAAAGGGACAGTTCATGCAAAAACAAAAATTCTGTCATCGTTTACTCCCCTTTCACTTGTTTACAAACATTTAAGAGCTTCTTAGTTCCTTGTTGAACGGAAAAGAAGATATTTTGAAGAATGTTTGAAACCTGCAACCATTGACTTACAAAGTATTTTTTTCCTTTTTTTTCAAATTATTTTTCCTACTATGAAAGTCAATGGTTACTAGTTTCCAGCTTTCTTCAAAATATCTCCTCTTGTGTTCAACAGATTAAAGAAACTCATGAAGGTTTGTAAACATTTGGCTTACAATAAATAGTCACTAAATTATTATTTTTGGGTGAACTGCCCCTTTAAATCTGAATTAAACCTTCATTGAAAATGGTGTCTCACTCAGAGATTCCATAACATTTATCATTTCTAATAATTAACATTTCAACAATAAATGCGTCCTATAAAATGTTTAATCAGAAACTAAGGAAACTGTTTCTAAAATTCTCTCCAAAGTTATTTAACATTAGGTGTGCAGTTTCAGCTCTTAAAGGGACAGTTCGCTTGAAAAAAAATATTCAGTCATCGTTTACTCACTGCTTTAAACCTTTAAGAGCTTCATTAATCTGTTGTACACAAAAGAAGATATTTTGAAAAATGTTGGAAACGTGTAACCATTGACTTCTATAGTATTTGTTTTTTTCAACTATGAAAGTCAATGGTTACCGGCTTTCAGCTTGCTTCAAAATATCTTCATTTGTGTTCAACAGATTTAAAAAACTCATTAAGGTTTGGAATCACTCGAGGTAAAGTAAATAGTGACTAAATTATCATTTTTGGGTGAACTGTTCCTTTAAATCTGAATTGAACCTTCAGTGAAAATGGTGTCTCGCTCAGACATACCATAACATTTAACATGTCTAGTAATTAACATTTTAATAATTAACATTTTTACAATAAATGCATCGTATGAAATGTTTAATCAGAAATGAAGGAAACTGTTTCGTAAATTCTCTCCACAATTATTTAACATTAAGGGCCCTATCATACACCCGGCGCAGTGTGGCGCAAGGCGCGGCGCAATAGTTTTTGGTAGTTTCAGCTTGGCGCAAGAGTGGTTTTGAGGCGTTGCGCTACGCTGTTTAAATAGCAAATGCATTAGCGCTCATTTGTGCGCCCATAGGCGTTCTGGTCTAAAAAGGAAGGTGTTCTGAGGCGGACCGCTGGCGCGTTGCTATTTTGAGAAACTATAATAGATTTTTCATTAGACCAAAACTAACCCGGTCTAAACTCCAGCGCAGAGCGCGTTAGTTATGCACCTCACTTACACACTGCTTAATACACACAAGAGAGCAATAGGCAAATATCTTTACATATGAAATAATTAAAATATTAAGGATATATATAGGATATAATAGGAATAGATATAGGATATAAATATAAAGGATTAAAATATTACAAAAAATATTATTTTCTAGCCTACATAAATATGAAAAATCACTGCTTTTACGTCTTCTTCATCTCGGGAGGCTTTTTCAGTTCATTCATAACAATTTGCTTTTGTATAATGTTATTATTATTAGCAGTATTATTTATTATATCCATATTTATATTTGTTTTATTAAAAACAAGCTTAGATTTGTCCACCTGTCAGGTTTTAGACCATATGGGGCGCAGCATGTGTTTTAGGATATAACTCAGGTTTTTGAGCACATTTTGTTATTTTTGTTCATTTTTTCGTTTTTCTAGAAATTAGAACTGAATTTAGAAATAGTTTTGAAACGAATATTTGCGCTTAACAAACTAAATTAATTATTTATAGATTAATTGATGTCTGTGTGTAAAGGTTTCCCTATCCAAGAGCGAAAGCGAAAGTGATCCATTATCTCTCATTCTCACGCAGTAGATGCTCTGTTTAACAGTTTTCTGTTTAAAACACTGTGAACTGTGAACTGTTTGCTTGTGAAATGCTCAGTTTTTCCACTTAGACTTACTTTGCGTCCTGTAAATAGTGAATGCGCTCTTGGCGCGACGCAGCTGGCTCTTAAAGGGAATGGGAGATGAGACTCTGATTGGTTTATTCTCAAAACACACCTATAACTCATTAAGAAAATAAACTCAACCCTTTTAGACCATACGCCACGGCGCAAAACAGATTTCCCGTCTTTAAATTAGCAAAAATGTGTTCTGACACACCCTTAAAGCGTTTGCGCCCTGCGTATTGCGCTCTGTGCATGGACCATCAAAATAGACCCCTAAGTGTGTAGTTCCAGCTCTTAAAGGGACAGTTAATGCAAAAATGAAAATTCTGTCATTGTTTACTGTCCTGTTACTTGTTTCAAAACTTAAAGAGCTTCTTTCTTCTGTTAAACACAAAAGAAGATATTTTGAAAAATGTTGGAAACGTGTAACCATTGACTTCCAGTGTTTTTCCTACTATGGAAGTCAATGGTTACCAGTTTTCAACATTCTTCAAAATATCTTCTTTTGTGTTTAACAGATTAAAGAAACTCATAAAGGTTTCATAAAGGTAATTTTTGGGTGAACTGCCCCTTAAATCTGAATTGGATCTACTGTAAACATGGTATTTCACTCAGCTTCATTGTAACCTTTGATCCAGGCACCAGAGTTCGGGCGCTGTGATTGGTCGATGCGGGCAGCCAGAGGTCAGCTGGTGGGGCTGGAGAAACGCTGATGATGAGCATCTGGTACAAGCCATTGCTAAAGCCTGCGCTACAGATCCGGCAGCAAACACAGCACTTGCTAACGGCTCCTGTGTTCACAATCATGCTAACGGCACCATCAGTGGCTCCGGTACGTAAAAGTGGGTGCGTCTCAATCAGCCCCCTTGTTTACTATGAAAATTATTAGCCTTTTGTTGTTTATAAACTCCAGTTTTGATGATGTACAGTAAGTGTGCACCAATGTGTAGTGAACCAAGCTCATCAGTGCCCTAAATAGTGCTCGAAATTGTGACCTACCGATGAACAAACTTGGGAGCTAGGGTGCTGATTAAGATGCACCCAGTGACTATGCTCCTGTTCAGCACCTCATCTACTTTATATTCATGCCAGATCCTCACATGGCCAATGGAAAGGTAGAGGCGGAGCCAAGTGCCACGCCCTCTCAGAAGCTGTTAATAATGGACGCACGCTCATACGCCGCAGCAGTAGCCAATCGGGCTAAAGGAGGAGGCTGTGAGTGTCCAGGTAATGCAGAACTTATGATTCTGATCAATGTTATATGCTGAATGTTTGACTAATAGTGCAGTTTACCTTCTCTCAAGCATGACTTGTGCTTCTTGTAGAGTATTATCCCAACTGTGAGGTGATGTTCATGGGAATGGCCAACATCCACTCCATCAGGAAGAGCTTCCAGTGTTTGCGGACGCTCTGCGCTCAGGTCCCGGATCCACTAAAGTGAGTGCTTATGAGGAGTCATCCTGCAAAACTAACACAGACAACACAACTGCTTAAAGATGCTGGTTATTTTAGTGAATACAGCACACATTCAGGACTATTCCGTTTAATTTAAAGGCGCAGTACACCCAAAAATGAAAATGTCCCCACCAGTGGTGTAAAGTAACTAATTACAAATACTTAAGTTACTGTAATTGAGTAGTTTTTCTCAGAAATTGTAATTTACTAGGTAGTTTTATAAATGAGCACTTTTACTTTTCCTTGAGTACATTTGTACTGCAGTATCTGTACTTTTACTCCTCTACTTTCCTTCAATCTGCAGTCACTACTGTATTTTTTCTTGTCTATGGGGATTAGAGAAATCAGTCCAGTAATTCCTGCCCAATCAGATCACACATAGAAGGTAAATCACATCATAATGAACTACCTCAACACATGTGCACTTTACATTGCAGCAAACTGTTTGGAAGCATTAAAAGTGTCCAAGAAGATGATCAAAATCTTTACACACATTGACCCAGAGACTGTTTAGATCAGGGATGCCAAAACACAGTCCTGGAGGGCCGATGTCCTGCAGATTTTAGCTCCAACTTGCCTCAACACACCTGCACGGATGTTTCTAGAAAGCCTAGTGTGAGATTGATCAGCTAGCCCAGGTGTGTCTACTTGGGATTGGAACTAAACTTTGCAGGACACCGGCCCTCCAGAACCGAGTATTGGCACCCCTGGTTTAAATGCAGGTCACTGAAGAAAAGATGATGGATATTTACAGTATGATGACCGAAATGGCCTTAAACACCCAGCAGGCACAAGACGTCAACATGCCGTCAGATTGAAATTGTACCGTAACGTCATTAAGTCGCTGCATTTAGTTTGGAAATTAAAATCAGATTTACATCAGAACTCAACGTCAGCCAGATGTCAATGTCCAACGTCCAACCTAAAACCAACCAAATATCAACGTCTAATGATGTTACAGCTTGACGTTGTGTGGACATTACCACTATGACGTCTATCAGACGTTGAATTTTGGTTGCCATAACTGATGAGTTAGTATTTGACATCAATAGGATGCTGGTTTAAGATGTTGCTCGACATTGGATTTTGGTCACTTTCCAACAACCTAAAATCAACCAAATATCAACGTCATTTGATGTCATTATTGGACATCAAAACATTGTTGTCCTTAGACGCTGGCTAGACATTGAATTTTAGTCACCTGACATCACAACCTAAATCTAACCTAATATTAACATGTTATGGCATTGTGTGCCTGCTGGACAATAACTAATGCACTACAGAATGTTACGTTTACACACACATCCACAAATTACATGTAAATGCATCAACTCTTAACAGCGTAATACTCACTACTCATGAGTACTTTTAAAAGGGCTACTCTTTACTCCTACTTTGAGTAATATTTACAACAGGTACTTTTACTCTACTCACACTACATTTTTAGGCAAGTAATGGTTTTTCCGTACTATTTCCACCACTGGTCCCCACACTCAAGGGGTTTTATGAATGTCTGTTGGACACAAAGGAAAATATACTGGAAAAAAGCAGCCATTGACATCAATAGTAGGAACACAAAATACTATGGAAGTCAATGGCTGCTTTTTTCAACAGAATCTTTCAGTATATCTTCATTAGTGTTCAAAAGAAGAAAGAAAATCACACAGGTATTGAAACAACAAGTGAGTTAATGATGCCAGAACGTTAATTTTTAGGTGACCTGTCCCTTTAATGGAAATAAATAATATAATTTGTGATAATAATTAGGCGACGCAGTGGCGCAGTCGGTAGTATATATATATATAGGTAGGTAGTATAGATATATATATATGTGTGTGTGTGTGTATATATACACACACACATACATACACACACATATATATATATACCTGTAATGTGGTACCCTGAACACTAATATCTCAGTGTGCTGGTCTGTGCACAGTTGGCTGTCGGCGCTGGAGGGCACAAAGTGGCTGCAGCATCTGTCTCTGCTGCTGAAAGCGTCTGTGCTGGTGGTGAACGCAGTGGATAGAGACCATCGGCCCGTGCTGGTGCACTGCTCTGACGGATGGGACAGAACACCACAGATCCTGGCTCTGTCCAAACTCATGCTGGACCCCTTCTACAGGACTATAGAGGTCTCTCACACACACACACACACACACACACACACATACAGGACCACTTCTACAGGACTATAAAGGACTCTCTCATATACACAGAAACACACACAACACTTGCTGGACCCCTTCAACAGAACTATAAAGGTCTCTCACATGCACGCACGCATACACACACACACACACACACACACACACGAAGCAACCATTCTATGTAAATGCATAAGAGAGCATCATTACTCTCTGTCTGTCTGTCTGCAGGGTTTCGAGGTGCTGGTGGAGACGGAGTGGCTGGATTTCGGTCATAAGTTTTCAGAGCGCTGTGGTCACGGTGAGCGTGCAGACGATGTGAACGAGCGCTGCCCGGTGTTCCTGCAGTGGCTGGACTGCGTTCATCAGCTCCAGAGACAGTTCCCATGCTCATTCCAGTTCAACGAGGCCTTTCTGGTACTCTCATGATCAATCATTACGGGCTGTTGTTGATGTGATGGCATTAGCCGTGTTTACATTAGCTGTGTTGACTTCTAAGGTGGCGTGTTGGCTCAGTGGTTAGCACTGTGGCACAGCAAGAAGGTCGCTGGTTCGAGTCTCGGCCGGGTCAGTTGGTGTTTCTGTGTGGAGTTTGCATGTTCTCCCCGTGTTGGCGTGGGTTTCCTCCGAGTGCTCCGGTTTCCTCCACAGTCCAAACACATGCGCTATAGGGGAACTGATCAACTAAATTGGCCGTAGTGTATAAGTGTGTGTGAATGAGTGTTTCCCAGTACTGGGTTGCGGCTGGAGAGGCATCTCCTGTGTAAAGCGTATGCTGGATAAGTTGGCGGTTCATTCTGCCGTGGCAATCCCTGATGAATAAAGGGACTAAGCCGAAGGAAAGTTATTGATGTAAATAATAACATGATAATAACATCGAGCAAATATAAGTCTAAGGCTGCGTCCGAAACCGCATACTTCCATACTATATTGTACGCCAAAATCAGTATGCCAGCCAAGTAGTATGTCCGAATACATAGAGTTCGAAAATCAGCATGCGAGAAGTACCCGGATGACTTACTACTTCCGGTGAAATTCTGGAGTGCGTGGCTG